GTGGGGTCATAGAGGGTCACGGGTGGTCATGAGAGGGTCAGTGGGGTCACTGGGGTCATGAGGGGGTCATGGGGGTCATTTGGATTGTGGGGGAGTCACGGGGGGTCATTGGGGTCGTGGGGTCACCTGGGGGGTCACTGGGGTCATGAGGGGGTCATGAGAGGGTCATTGGGGTCACCTGGGGGGTCATTGGGGTCACGGGAGGGTCATTGGGGTCACGGGGGGGTCAGAGTGGATTGGAGGGGTTTGGGGGCCAGAGGGGGGGTTGGGGATGACCCCTGACCTTTGACCTCCGCCCCCCAGGGGGGAGGTGACCCTGCGCTGGGTGGGGGAGGGGGGGGAGGAGCTGGAGCGGCTCCGGTTGGACCCCGACGCCTTCTGTGCCTGGAGCGCCCCCGGCACGGCCACGGTGAGCTGACCCCTGACCCCTGACCCCTGACCCCCGGCCCCCGACCCCGGGCTGACCCCTGACCCCCCACCCCAGGGGGGCCTCGTGTACGGGCACTACGGGCGACCCCAGGACCTGGCCCAGCTCCGGACACGGGGGGTGACGGTCCGGGGGCAGATCCTGCTCCTGAGGCTGGGGAGGGGGACCCCAGGTGAACAGGTGAGACCCCCCAAAATACCCCAAAAACACCCCAAATACCCCAAAATATCCCAAATACCCAAATCCTGCTCCTGAGGCTGGGCAGGGGCACCCCAAATGAGCAGGTGAGACCCCAAAATACCCCCAAAACACCCCAAAATACCCCAAATACCCAAATCCTGCTCCTGAGGCTGGGGAGGGGGACCCCAAGTGAACAGGTGAGACCCCAAAAACACCCCAAATACCCCAAAATACCCCAAATACCCAAATCCTGCTCCTGAGGCTGGGCAGGGGGACCCCAAATGAGCAGGTGAGACCCCAAAAACACCCCAAAACCACCCCAAATACCCCAAAATACCCCAAATACCCCAAAATACCCCAAATACCCAAATCCTGCTCCTGAGGCTGGGCAGGGGCACCCCAAGTGAACAGGTGAGACCCCAAAAACACCCCAAAATACCCCAAAATACCCCAAAATATCCCAAATACCCCAAATACCCAAATCCTGATCCTGAAGCTGGGCAGGGGCACCCCAAGTGAACAGGTGAGACCCCAAAAACACCCCAAAATACCTCAAAATATCCCAAATACCCAAATCCTGCTCCTGAGGCTGGGCAGGGGGACCCCAAATGAGCAGGTGAGACCCCAAAAACACCCCAAATACCCCAAAATACCCCAAAATATCCCAAATACCCCAAATACCCAAATCCTTCTCCTGAGGCTGGGCAGGGGGACCCCAAACCAACAGGTGAGACCCCCCAAAATACC